TGACGATCTCCAGATTGGAAATGCACCAATACCGAGAATTATCGTAAATAAAATATTTCTAAGTCATGATGAGAAGTTTCAGGCGGATGTTAATAATTTGATAAAAAGGAATCTATATCACGGACTATAAGCTTACATAAGCGATAAATAGAAGCTATACCGTGTAGAATTATCATTATTGTAAAGAGAGAAAAAACTACCTAATATCAAGTTATTTTTTTCGCAGTAAATTTCATGTAAATAACAATTTCCCTTATACTATGTTAGTTTTTACTTGAATAAAATTATTGAAATACAAAAAAAAATATTTACTTAAAAATTTCATTGTCTATTAATAAACGCAAGTGCAGATAGTTAGCCAATATAAAATTAAGATCTAATGAAATCCATTTGGGGTAATCGCCCAATAACTAACATAAATATTTGTAACAAAATTTCTTATAGATAAATTTAAAAATGAAATAAATTTAAACCTCTTCAACCATCTCTAATCAATTGGTTCAATCAAGATTCAGTGTCACATATCCATCTCATCTGTCTGGAAGACTGGATGAGATCTAAAAATTAAAATAATGATTCGAACGATTGTACTTAAGATCTGTGCGTCTACGGGCTATGTGGCCATACTCCTCCTCCCTTCAAACGATGCTACACGCCTCGCTTCCTAGTAAAACCGACCAGTATCCTTTTCTCAAAAGCGCTGCAAATATCAATAATTTTTTTTTTTTTTAGCTATATTTATTGAGACATATTACAATCTGTCACAAGTAAGGACATTTATAATAGTGTTCAGAGAGCACATAATAAAGTTATAAAAATTTTAATTTAATTATTCCCCATCTTCTTTAAATTGAATGTCGTCCCTGCTTTGAAACCTACAGAACTATGATCCATTCCAAAAATTCATTACCCTGTAAATATGTAGCTCTCTCAATAATTTATAACTCTATAAAAATGTTAATGACGCAATTTTCCATGCAACCACCTTCTGTGCATCCCTGAATCCGTTCTTGCTCAGCTTATAACGGTACCAATCCAATGTGGCGGCACCAGATAATGTATGATAATGTACGTTTTGAATGAATATTCTTGATTTTTTTTACTTCTAAAGTTTATATATTTTTTTTCATTTTATCTACGGTTTCGATGTAACTCGGTAAACACAATTACTTATTCCACTCATGTAGGATATATAGTTGAAATATATCACATTTGTCACACCATGAGCAGAGAATATATGCACCCATGGCAGTTGAACAAACCCGATTAAAAATCTGCTGCTGTCCTATCTGGCGATCTGGACAAATGTCATCGTAGACTGGATTTCTTTCTAGACGTAACCGGATCCCTTCGTCCTATATGCAAATAAAATTCTTGGCTTGCATAGACAACATTGTCTGTATTTATTTACTCCTGCAATTATTTTGAATAAATAAATACAAATGGATTAAGAAAAGTACGTTAAATAATAGGTCAGGCAATGAAGGGACGATAAGACTACATAACGAGAGAGGTTGCCAGTTATTGACGTTTTTTTTAATCAATTAGGAAGCTCGTAGCATCTCTGGCGGCTTGATATCTCTATCATCTGGCAACATTGCTTTTATACTCATCGCCGTTGTTTTAATTTCCTGTATAATAAATGTAAACAAATAATGGAGATGAGATGCACATAATCACAGCCTTTAATAAGGAATCAGCGAATGATTGCTAAACAATAAAATAAATAAATGCTAATAAGTTTTCTTTAAGGAAATGAAGAATATTAAATATTTATTCTTTTTAACTTTTAATTTATTCAAATGTATTTTTTTTTACCGTATTCTTCCCGTATCGCTTATAAATTACAATCAAAACGAAAGCATCGTTTGAACCTTTCTAAATTTCTGTAATTATTACTTTTATTTTTATATATTTATTTTTTATTCTTTAATCTAGTAAATATGATATAAGTGATTTAAATCGCCAGTATTTATAGTCATTTATTTATTTATTGAGTGATATATTCTGTCAATTAGACAATAGTGTATAAATAAAAAATAAACTGAAGCAAAATTACAACTAAATAATAATCAAAAAGTATATATACAATAAATAAAGTAACTTAATGATAAGCAAATTTTTTTTTTAACTTTATTTGTTGAGTATTACAACAATTTGCCACTCGAACATTAATTATATTGAAATATTATAACACTCACGCTATATATACAAAAATAAAAAAATAAATAGAAGCAAAATAATAATAAAAAAAAGTAAATGCAATAAATAAAATAAAGTAACTTAAAAATAAGAAAATTAAAACAAAGCAAAAAACAGTGAATACCTATATATACTATAAGTAAATTTAAAAAAAACAGACGTACCTATATACACTACTTACAATCAAGTAAGGGAACCAGGCTTGTCCCTCCAACTATAAAGGATAAAGCAGGACTCATGGAGATCCCTGCGCTACTCTCACAACCGCGTCATTGGCTGTTCCACAGCCAGTGGAGATTGGGCGACACTTGTCATTAAATTTGGTGGATTAAATTATTTCTATATAAAAAAATAAAACCTAAATATCTCAAAAAATAGGTACGTTTGATTTTAAATACATTTAGTTAAAAAATATTTTAATTTTGAAAATCGGACTACAGAAATCAATAACTCTGTCCATTCTTAAGTGTATGGATACGACCACTTGACGTACTTGCACATCCACTTAAACACTTAATCGTTCCGTAAATTGGAGCCTACGGATATTTGAACTTGATGTAGTGGCCGTGGGTCTTACACCCCCCAACGAAACTCAAGACTTTCGGATCTTTACATGCATTGCTATATGGGACGAAATTTACTTGCCATGAATATTATATGTGTATTGGAAGCCACTCGAATAATACAACATTTTTAAATATTTGTAGACGCCAATTTCCCAGCAATTTACTAAGGTGTTTAAGTAGATATGCAAATATATTCTCATGAATAGGATGGATAGGGTAAATAGGATAATTTCTGATGTAGGTTTTTAAAAAAAAAACATATTTTTTTACATTTTCCGTTTTTCAAGCAGTGACTATTTATCGTCAATATGATCACGAACATACAAATGATATGAAACTACCAGCATTTTGAAATTGTGATAACATATTTTTTCATTTTGAGTCATTCATTTAAATCATTTCAAAATATTCACAAGTTCTCACAGAGTAATTTTAACCATCTAAATTGAAGATTAATGAAGTTATTCGCTCAAAATATAGTTTTGTACTATCTTACCATTTGGTGTATAGATTTTAACATATTTCCCAAATAGTTACAAAACACTCACGGGATCTCATCGACATCAAACTTTATAAAAGGACCAGCCGTTCGCTCAAAACAATTGCGATTTATTAACTTTTTTTGAATCGGAATATGTAAATTAATTTCTGCCGAATATAATATTTATTGCTTTTTAAGTGAAAACTTCTTTAGACACGTTTTGTAGAGAGTGAATTAGATTGGGCTGTCAGATCTTCGATGTGAAATACTCCGGTAAAGTTGACTGGAGTCGACTAAATAAAGCTTTTTTGCATATGGATTAAAATATCTCAAAAACTAAAAATCGGACCTGCATATTACTATAAAGAAAAATATTCATCATTTCATCCTCTCTGTAATAAACAATTATTCAAAATTGTATCTTAACGCGACGCGTTGCCGTGTTAGAAAGGCGAACTGGGAAAGCATTTTTCTTTTTTTATAAAATTAATTAAAATGTCTCAGAAACTAAAAATCAGACCAGCGCACAGTCAGCGAGGAAAATTTTCAGCATTTCATCCTCTCTACAATGAGTTATTATTTATAATAAATATTTCATATTATTGATCTTACTTGATGTTTTCACTTCTTTCTTGTGGTCTAAAGCATACACCATAGTTTTTTTTTTTTTATTATTTCTGATATATCATTTTGTTACATCGAAGAGTTTTCTCAGGGAATATTACTAAAACAAAGTACCTTTAAGACAAAATCCAAAAGATTGGAAAACAACTTTAAGCCGATCCAATGTTTAATTGTAAACAAGACCGTCACTAAACAAAAACCTCTTTATAACTTCAAGGTTCAATAAACTTCTACCTCCTTCGGGATGTTGACAGTCAATTTATTTCTGAAAGCCTTGTAATCACTTTTACTTTATGCGATCCACTCCCCATCCCTTCCACTCTTCGTTAAGTTTGAAAGAAGATAAAACTCCTTGATTTTTGAAAGGAAATAAAATTTACTTTACAGTCTAAAAGAAAGATTCAATAACAGGCTACTTAGAGTTGGTTGCTGAGTTCGCCAAAAGAATTCTTTTAGTGGGACTGTTGATAAAAGGGCCAGTTAGTATTGAAATATGAACACATAAAAGTCCACGCAGCCCCGAAATACGATTCAAAATTTGTTTATGTTTATTTTGAAAATAACTGATTATTTTAAAACTCAAGACCAGTGTATTCAAAATGTTGTTGCTAATAGGTTTAGTTTTCCTCATATTCATATACTATTCGCATGAAGCAACCGCGTGTTATGAAGCAATACCTGAGCTTGTGCGGGTGCCTACAACCTGCATGATCTCCATTTTATTTCATATCTCATATCATTGGCACCGGCCCTGGAGATAGAGAGGGAAGAAGGGAAGTAACTCTGTCCGCTCTCCTCCCCCCCCCCCAATTTTTCGTGAAGGGGGCCTGAACCTCCAATATTTCACAGTAGTTTATTCGAAATAACTCACGAAATGTTCAATAAATCGCATAGATAATAATTATATTGCTAGTTGGCCCTTGGGAAAGATTTTCATGACATATATTAGTCAGTGGATAAATGACAGTAAAATATAGAAATAAGTAAATTCAATGCATTGAAAGGGGTAAGGATTATTTTTAATCCATGGTCGATTACATCGTTTTACCATCACCTCTAAAAGCCTCCGGCCAAATAGCACGGTCCTGTGACGGAGCTGACCATTTCCGGATTTGTAGGATGTCTCTTCAGTCCACAGACACTCTATCCAGCCTCCTTGAAGTAGGTCTTCCTGCTCCTGTGCAGTCTCTCCGACAATAGTAGTTTGAGAGTTCCGAAACAATCAATTCGAGAGACAAGTCCAGTTCAGCGTAATCTTCCAATCTTAATGAACTTGACCACATCCACCTCTTTGCAAAGCTCCTGAAGTTCACGACTTTTTCTTCTGGACCAGACATTCCTCTCCCTTCAACGGTTCGTTCTTAATAATAAACCTAAACGCGTATACAAAATACAATTTGCTGTATCTATATTATTGTTTACTAAAAATGGTCCTATTTGGATGATTTATTTTTTGTTTTGTAGGAATTTGGAAAGGTTTCAAATAATCATTAGGTCTAACCACTGTACAGTTTTTAGTCATATTGAATATTTAATGGTTGACCGTTGCATTATAAAGGAAGGAGATGGTCGGGGGTTGATGACCGCGACCCCGGACCATCTCCTTCCTTTACAGTTTTTAGGTTATAAAGTGGCCTTTTCTTCATATCATTCTAATGAAATATCTGGGAGTTGGGGTTATTTTTTTTAACTGATGGAATAGATAATCTTCAAACTGATGGCTAATTCATTGACTCCATTAAAGAATTAACGAAGATATGGCGCAAAGACAAAAAAGAATAAGAATACGTATCAAAAATAATATGTTAAATTATAGTATAAGTTTGGCGTTCTATCCTCTTCCTCCCTCCCCATGCATTGAACACTGTTGTCATGCCATACTGACCTCTCCCTGCCTTTAGTTCTTAAGGGCCGGCTATGTCTCATGTAATAAGACGTTGAAGGGTACTTGTACATATTTTGGTCTGAACAGCTTCGTTCCAAATGTCAATATAGGGGCTGGAGGGGAGAAAGAGGGTGAGTGAATTGGGATTATTTTAATATAATATGACAATATAACATAAGCCGAGACACAGGATTTTGGAGATTTAGAGTTAATTATTATAAAATCTATACCAATTTGAGATTTATTATGGTTTAACTCTATCATCATAGTTTTTATTTATTTTTATTAAATTGTTTATGTTCTAAAAATTAAAATTAAAAAACCCGCTTTGATTCGATGGAATTATTTTTAATATTTACATATAAGTGACTAAGAAAAAAGAAAAAATATATATATCGAGCCTCTTTCTTCTGTTATCAAAACACGAGAGAGAACTCAATTCTATTGAGGGCCAAAGAACTCCCTGCGATAAATCGGATGAGAGAACCCATTGAAGGGTAGCAATAAACGGACATTGAATGTCGCTCCCAGCCAATCAAAGAAGCATTCAACTTCGAATTCGTTTTAGCCAATCGCTCCCTCTACCTCTAAATGTTTCAGGACGCTTAAAAAGGAGGGGTGATAAAAGAAAAGGAAAAGAAAAAAAGATAAAATAAAAGTATATTACTAGCAGAGGTATTTTATAATAATATCAACTAATAGTTTTCAAGGAGACAAAACAATTTTCTTAATCCCCAGTAATATCCACTATTGTTTTAAAAATTGTATTTTATTTGATATTTAAAATGAAACACGTTGATGGCTTTAAAAACCTCGAAAAAAAGATTAGGCAACTTATAAAAATTCAGTAATGAACGAAGTTACTTTGTATCCTGCGGTAGGTTAAAAATGTATTTACCTCACATTCGAAACACTTCACTCGCGTTATTTGATTTGGATACTAAGGAACGGGTTCTGCTTGTAGTCAAATTAATGTGACAGACATGCCCTCTACTATTGTTAATTCGATTTTGATGAAATTGTCAGGGATTATGTGCGTTGGTACCTAGATGGCCCCACATTAATTCCATTAAATTTAATTCATTACTATACGGATGATTAAACTATCACTTTATGACACATTTTATTTGTAAAGTGCAATTGTTTCAGTATTTTGAGAACCTTGGTATTTTAACAACTTGAGTCATGCTCTTACTTTTTTAAAACATATTCAAATTTTTTTATTATATATTTATAACCAATGGTTAAAACCTTTTTTCAGAAAAGTTTCATTTCACAATTTCGATAGAGCTTCTTCGTAAAACAGTAGAATGATCTTCAAAAGACCTTCTTTTGGAATAAAGTTCTTAGTTTTGGGTAAAAGTTTAACTTTTTTTTTTTAGGTAAATATTTTAATTAATTTACTTAATTCTCCTAAATTAAAAATTTCCTGTATTACACTACTGTTTCTACATTGAAAATTACTGTAAAACGTTTAAAAATGAGGTTTTCAAGACGAAACCTCTAAGGAACTTTTTTGTAATAAGGTCCTGATAGATTTAAGGTAATCTTTATCTTAAATCTACAAGGTCTTTTATTCTGTAAGATCTAGAAAAATTAACTGTATAAGGGCTTAAGTTACAGTTATAATTCGTCTTAAATGGATTACATGATTCTAAGATATCGTTTTGTTTGAGTAGCTAAAAAGAATAAAAGTTATTTTCTAGATATAACGTTTGGTAAAACGAATTGTTTCTACAGAATTTTTTAATAAAATAAATTTTTTTTATAAATAAAAGTTCTGTAAAATCTTTACTTGAAAAGTTGCAAAGGAAAGAATTTTAGTTTTCCTGAAGTAACAGAAAAAAAAATACAAAATAAAGATTCTAGTCATACGGAAATTGATTAAGAATAAAAGTGGCAACATTATTTCAAGCCCTGCATATAATGAATATTATAAATAATGAAATTCTACTAGGTAAAAAAACATTTAAATAAAAAAATGTTTTTATAAAATAGTGTTGTTTATATTTGTTTACTTAATTTTACAGAATCGTGTTATTTTGTCCATTTCATCCATAAGTGTTTTATAATGAAAAGATGTAAAATAATAATGAAACCTAAACTTTTTTATTCCTAATCGTGATAAGTCAATAAGAAACAAAAAAAAAACAGCGTTGCTCAAATTTAATTGTAATCAACAACAGCCTTCGACAAGCCGTGAATATTATACCTCACAATCAGTTAAAAAATCAGATTAACCTATTTCACGCTTGTTGCTTACAAGAAAACTCGTTCACATTTCTTTTTTCTGTCCTCTACACGTCTCATTTATATCTGTCTACCTAATCCTGTCTTTATAGCTAGTTTATTTTAGTTAGCGAGATTGGGGTATTGTTTATGGGACAAATTAAGAATTAAACGTTAAAATGACATGATGATCGTATCCTACGTTTTGTTCCAGAACAGGGTATCCGCTTCTGATCATTCACGAAACGTTGTCCTTGGTAAAAGGCTATGTCTGCTGTACCTATGAAGGCCCTGGCTGTTTCCATAGCAGACCTAATAGTTTCTGGGCCAGTTAGCCCAGGATTAACAGCAACGTCACGTACATAGTGAAACCGTATATATCACACATTACCATATAGATTTCCACGCCATCACATCTCCTAGTTCAATCTCAAATTCTATGACAAAAACTTAGTAAACTTTAAAGAAAAATACATGAGAAGATATTGCAAATCATTAATAATGTATTGGAATTGAGATCAGGGGTGCGCAGGAGGGAGTTTCATGGCGCTAATCGCGCCATCAAAATTTTTGAGGATGACAAATTTCGACGGGGTTATGAATTTCCGAACTATATGTACTGTATATGTTTTCTTTATGTATATATGAATATGCATATATAGGGAACTATATGTTTCCCAGAAGATTCTTGAATTTTGAAATTTCGACTATTTAATAACAAAAAACACTACTTAAATGATTACATATTTTTCAAATATAGTCTCTTTTCAGTTTATCTCATTAACATTAGACATTTGTTCCCCCTCGAGAAATGACGTTTTCTCCTCCCACCCTAAAAAAATTAAATTTATTTCTCGAGCTGTTTTATATAATGTAATATTTCATTTTTCTATTACTGAATATTTCTCTAATGGAGCTGGTTTATTAAAAAACTAAAATTAATTATTTTAATACGTTTTGTGTATTTTTTTTTTTAATTTTTAACAAGTGGGGAGTGCCCCTGATGATAGGAGCCCCGGGGATATTGCCACGGTTGCCTCTCTCTAAGGCTGGCTGTGCTCGTTAATAGGATAGTAGTTAAGTTTTATTGTTAAAAAAGTGGTTACATTGTAAGGGTGTTAGACTTGTCCCGAACCATAGTTGGACAGTGTCATTAATTACAGTAATCTCGTACAGTAATTTCAATTACTCCTTTCAATTACAGTAATTGCGATCGATCATTTAAATTACAATTACTTCTTGATGTTAAATAGTTGCAATTACTATTATATCTAATTCAAGGTGCACGTGTTTAAATCCTATTTTGTTAATTCCTATTATCTATATATTTTTTACCTATTCCCATTGAGTTATAATCTAATTACATTTTTTCCTGCTATTTCGGCGTAAAGTAGTTTTAGTTGACAAATAAAGTTAAAAATAAAATACGATTACATAAAAGTAGGTGTTAATTGCAATTACTTTGGCTTATCTATTCTGTAATTGTTACAATTTCAATTACAGGATCCCGTGAAGTAATTGTTATAACAATTACTACTAATTGTTATGCATTATAATTTTAATATTATAATCAAAGTGTATGTACAGAAAAATTATACTCACAATAACAAGTCAGCAATTTGAGATCAAAGTTCAATTATGCTAAAACGTGGGTAATCTAACCTCACTTCAACCAATTTCCACCGAATCAAAAAATTCATTATATGAGATTGTTCAATCTAGAAACCTTCTCATATATGGTTAATGAACAAATATTACTTGAAATGATGTCTTGTAAAAAATGAATTATGTGGAAATAAATTGTGTTTTGTGTTTCATAGATTAATTATAAAAATAAAGCAGAACTCACTCCATCAATGAAGAATAATTTCGTAAGAAAAGAAGTGTCAATTTATTGAAGTAAAAACTTCTTCAAGTGCGTTTTGCAATTTTTTTGTGATTGACTTCATTTTTTTGTGATTAATTGCAATTTGCAATTAGATTGACCCGTCAGATTCCGACGTGTAACTCTCGGGTAAAGTCGGCTGGATTCAACTAATTGAAGTGTATTTTGTATAAAGATTAAAACATCTCAAAAATATATATTGTATCTTGTTAGCGAGGGAAATGTTCATCATTTCATCCTCTTTGTAATGAAATATTATTCAATATTACATCTTAACGCGACGCCGTGCTAGAGAAGCGAAAAGAGAAAAAACAATGTCGAAAACCAAATGATAACGAGTTTCTTCGTATTTCTTTTCGTAAAAAAAACATGCATTTTCCTGTCATGAACAGACCTGAAAAGTAGTTCTCATAAAAAATCATTAATAAACATTAATAAATATTTTTCCTTATTATATAAGCATTTTTTTTTTTTTCATTTATAACCTTTGCTTCAGGAAAGCATTTTATTTGCCACTTCAACCTTGGGAGTCATAAAATAAAAAGACATGCACTCTTCTAACCTTGTATTACAATCCTGTATAAGTGAACGTAACATGCAGTAATGATATGCATAAGCAAAAAAGAAACAAAACTGACTCTCAAGAGATATATTAACCAAGGCCATAATGGATAATTGCACATATACGGTTATATGAATAAAAAAATAATAAGTAAGCATTTGAATTCTTAGTCAGTAAGTAGCAATCTTTGACAATTTAGAAATAAATAAAAATCATTATTTTGTTGGTTTGAACTTAAATGCATAAAAATGTAAAGGTCAAAAACATCTTTAAATTAATTTTCTTTATATCTGAATAACTTATTTAAAAGATTTTATATTTTATTCAACAAATCATTTGATTTCAAGAAATGTAACATTAACTTTTTTTTGTCTTCATCAAAAGCATTATATTTATTTTAAAGATAAATTTTATCTTATTCTTTATCATACTCTTTCATTGGTTAATCAATTTCATCATATACAGTATATGTATGACATAAACCTACAAAATCTGTAAATTAATTATCTAATCTATGACGATAAAAAATTAATTTACTACTATCCAAGTAAAGAAATAATAATATGCAATTTTCTTTTGCGCTTTATTATTTTAATTAGTATTTCCCTATTGTAATTTCAGACTAATGATGAGGAATCCTAAGGGTCAGATTCAAGAAATGCACTATAAATTGATGTCAAATGCGGTATCATTAATGGATTCTTTGATTTTAATTTTCAATTATATTTCAAAACAATTGAACAAAAGTTGGTAAAAAATTGAGAGACAGTTAACATTAAAACCGATTAATATTTAAATTACACAAGCTTTAAAGCAAAAATAAGCATAATGAAAAAAAA